TCTGGATGTACCAAGATTGGAGCCGTAGTAAATGCGGTCTTCAGGTTTTGAAATGCCTTCTCTGCTAGAGGTCCCCATTCCAGGTTATCCTTGCATGTCAACCGAGTAAGAAGAGCAGCAACTTGAGAGTAATTCTTGATAAAGATCCGATAGAAGTTGGCAAAATCAAGAAAGCATTGTACGTCTCTAACCGTCTTCGGAACCTCCCAGGACACGATTGCTTCCACCTTCTTGGGGTCCATCTTCAAGCCTTCCGTAGTCGCAACGAACCCCAGAAACTCCATCTCTATTTGGTGAAATAAACACTTCTCCAACTTGACATATAGTCCTCGCTCGCGTAGTTTCTCCAATACCAAACGAACGTGTTTTTCATGCTCTTCCTCATTTTTGGAGAATATCAAAATATCATCCAAATAGATGACAACAAAATCGTCAAGGTACTCTCGAAAAATGTTATTCATCATATGTTGAAAGATCGCTGGAGCATTGGTAAGACCAAAGGGCATGATATTATATTCAAAATGGCCATACCTTGTACGGAATGTTGTCTTCTACTCATCTCCTTCCTTGATTCGTACGAGGTTGTAAGCTCCCCTTAGATCAATTTTTGTAAAGATCCTTGCACGTCCAAGTTGTTCTAAGAGACCAGAAATCAAGGGTAACGGGTAACGATTCTTCTTTGTTACCTTGTTGAGGCCTCGATAGTCTACGCACATCCGCAACGAGCCATCTTTCTTCTTCACAAATAAGATGGGTGCTCCAACTGACGATTTTGAATGACGGATGAAGTTCTTGGCTAGATTATCGTTGATGTACTTTCGTAACTCCGCCAACTCCATCTGCGATAGATTGTAGATTGGGCCAAAAGGCGGTTGTGCTCCTTTCTGTAAGTCTATGGCGCAATCATATGGTCTGTGTTTCGGTAGCATGTTGGCATTTTTCTTTTGAAACACGTCTTTAAAATCCTTATATTGCTCCGGTATACTTGCTGTCGAGATCTTCTCCCCGGTAGTTAGAGCCGAATAAATGACAAATGGTGTGCCTCCCTTGGACAATCTTATAAACGCTCTTGCTCCAATAAATAAGGATTTCTCTATTCGGGGTTTTCTACTAGGCTTGCTCTTGGGTGGTTTTGTGAGAAAGGTCATCTTCCTCAACTTCCAATCTATGGATGGGTTATGCTTTTCCAACCAAAAAAGACCAAGAATAACAGGATTTGATGGGGTTCTAATAATATTAAAAATAATATGACTACTATGATCCTTAAACGTCACTTCTATAGGTTCTGATTCATGGATGACACTACCAATTAATAAAGATTGTCCATCTATGACCTCAACGTGAACAGGTTTGGATTTTTGTACTAAAAGGATCTTATGACGCTTTGTAAATTCTTCGTCTAAGAAACAAGCAGATGCTCCTGAATCTAATAATACTAAGGTTCTCAGTTTCTGAGGGCCAATAAGCAAAGGGATTGTAAAACAAAAGGCAGGTTGAGCGGAAAGAAAGAAAACTGGTTGTTGTTGCGATATTTCACTGTCCAGCCGCACGGTTCCTATTGTGGCTAGGCATCCTCGTTTTCCTGAATAAATACACCCCTAGTCTTGATAATACGTCGATTTTACTTCTTGGGGCAGTTTCCAACTTTGTGGCCTTCTTCACCGCAATACAAGCATAGACCTTCCTCCATACACCGCTTTTTTTCTTCTAGAGTAAGAGATTTGACACGTACCGCATCAATTTGCATGTCTTCCACCTCTGAATGTGAATTCACGTTGCTTGCCGATATAGTTGGGGTGTGGCGAACCGTATGTTGTCTTGAACGTTGGTCTTGGCGACGTTGGAATAGGCGGTTATCGCACTTCACAGCTTGGCTAATAGCTTCGTTGAGCGTTTGCGGATCAGGAAGAGTTAACAGTAAATCCTTCACATCGTCCCTTAAACCCCAATAGAATTGACTCATCAACGCTTCTTCGTCCCAATTGATGTCGCATGCTAATTACCTGAAGTCTGATGCATAGACTGATGTAGAACGCATTCCTTGTCGTAGTGACCGGATCTTTGTTATAGCCCATCAAACCTTGTCGTGTTCACCAAATGCTTCCGCAAATGCCTCCAAAAAGGTTTCAAAGTTGTTTAGTATGGATGATCGTTTCTCAAACAAAGGAGCAAACCATGATAGAGCTTGTCTTGTAAGTAAGGTTCCAACAAGCCCAACACGTGACTCCTCCGTTGGATAGCGTTCGGGCTGTAAAACTGTTATCAACCTGATTTGGTTGACGAATCCTCGAAACTTGGAACGTGTACCATCGAACTTGTCCGGAAGGCTAATTCGGAGTTCCTTATGTTGTAGAACCAGCGGTGCTTGTCGAACCTGAGGCAAAGTTGCTTCTCCAAGTGTAGAAGTTTGAGGCTGGTGCAACCTAGATTGTGCCATCCCAGATGCTCCATCATTATGAAGCCTTGCCACGACTCCTTCAATCTCTGTAATTCTTTGTGATAACGTAGCGAGGGCATTCATGATAGCATCTAACTTGGACTCTGAACTTTTCGTCATACTAATGTCTTGGCCCCCGACCATTCTAAGAGAAGGACAGGAATGACTCTACAAGAAGACAATATTGGTTTAGAGGAGCCAACAAAGTTCTATTTTCTTCTTCCAATGGTAGATGTTGTCACCTCTAAACTTCTCAATCACTCTCAAACGCTCATCCTTACTTAAAGCCATATCTAAATAAGGGATGTATCAAAGAAAATCAATAATAGAGAAGATAAAACTCTCAAAATCAACAAAAAGGTGTTGTTGCCTTAAAATTCTAAAATGCCCTCTTTATGAGTAAAATAATGAATTCATTCTTTGATCACTCTCAACTTCACTTATAAGACTTCTCACAAGTCTTCCACATTATCAAAACCTCTCTTACAAGCTTTGCCTCTCTTTTATCACCTCTAATGTCTTATAACACCTCTTTTTACTATAGAAAGATCTATTAGGAACTTAAGCACATGAAAGTTCAATGTTAGTGTATCAGTGAGGTAGGTCAGCAAAGAAGATACCACTAGTGTTTTAAAACAACATTCTAAAGTGTATAATAATCTTCAAGACCATGAATGCACTTAACAAGAAGTAAGAGCATAACTACATCAACAACTAGATGCAAAAAAAGATTTAGAAGATATCAAACTCTAACATTAGCAACAACCATAAGATCTACTCCTCATAACAACAAAACAACTTCAAAGAACTTCAAAACTCACAAATAAAGGTGAGTGGGTCCATAACCTATTGAAGAAATAGAACTTTGAAGTCACAACACATATCATCGGCAAGATTGTACACAAACATAGTATGAAGTAAGATATCTCTCACTTCCAACACCCAATACTTATAGGTTGTAGTTGTTGTCCTACAAGACAACTTCCACTCATTGACTTTTACACACATGATCCTTGCTCTTAGAATCCTTTGGTATCTAACATACCTCAAGAATATCCTATGATTCTTAGATCCTTTGGCATCTTACTAACCACAAAGGTATCCTATGCCAAACACTAATTACTCTTACCTAGTATTTGGATATTTCCTAGTTCATACTTTATCTTCTTAACTTTGACTCTTGGTCTTTGACCTTGTCTTCTATCTATAGGATGTCCTTTCTATACACCAAGAGTCAACTCTTTGACCATTATCAACTTACTTAAGGTAATATCCTCTACAAGGTAACTTATTCTTCTTTCACTTTTACTTCAACACTAATTGCTTGAAATGAGCATAGAAAATGCACTTACAAAAATGAGACACTGCGAAGGGCCGTGCGATTAGTAATTTCCAGGGGTAATCTGACACTAGATTGGCAGGTGGGTACTTTAGGGGGAATGGTAGTTTGTTTTTTGGAGATGGGACTATGTGGCCACATTTGCTTGCCAAAGCCTTTGCAAGTGAATCCAATGAGGCAAGTACAAGATAGATTTGCAATGCAAAAGCCCTGGTCACACAGGCATTGATGCACATGCCACTACCAATCAAGGCATGTAATCTGGCTTCCAGGATCTTTCTGCAACCCCAGCCTACCAAAGGGGCCGTAAGGTAGCGTTGTTAAAAAAAAACTATAAAACGCAGTGGAAAACAAAGCTGGTGGTCCTGAAGTATCCCCTCTTCCTTCCACATGTTGGAAGCTGGAAGCACGAGCTATCGGAGTGCAATGTTGGACTTGGTTTCTCTGCATAACGTGATTTATTTTTTATTTTTTTATATCAACAAGGAGATGTTGTGGCACAGTTTCCCTACTTGCTGGGATCTGTCTCTGTGTGTTCCCCACTGCAACCTGCAACTAAAATGCTGAATAAAGCAGACAAAATAGTGTCATAAAATCTAGGCTATGCTAGTGGTGCTCTTCACACAGGTGAGGGGAACGTGCCTATTCCCCGTGAGAATACTCAAGTTGCGAAGCTCAGCAGGCGGCAGAGATTGTGCTTCAAAACTATTCTTGTGTAAAGAATCAGTGCAGATCGGCCACCTCGACAAGTAGCACGTCTGAATCAGCAGATCTGAGTAGGCACAGGAGCACTTGGCGACATCTCGTCTGCAGCATTGAATGGCAGGTTGACAACAAGTTTGATCTTTGCACGAATCACCTAGAGGACGACGTTCAAAACAAGACGCCGGTAACAAAAGAACCAAAACCAGAGCGCACCATTTCTCAAAATGGGAAAAGTAGTTGTCTTTCTAATGTTAGAAACGGACAAGTCGGATAGGAACATTAGTATGCTATTCTAACAGAATATTTATGACGCTGTTTTAAAAGTTCTGGTAGGCATTAAATGCACTGCTTCTCTGACAGGTGCGGTGCGCAACAAAGGCGGCTGGGCCCAATACCAGCTTATTCGCAAGTTGACAGTTAATTCTATAATTTGAAACCTATTTGCAAATAGCAGCTGTAAACTTTAGTTGTGGAGGGGAATGATTGGATGAAGTTGGAGCAAAAAACCAAATGCAGAACTGTAATTTAATCATAGCACTGGAGAGTTGACAGATGAGGCGAAATCCTCGCGCTGTGTACACATTCCAAGCGTTTATATTCATACCACGTGGAATTTTACGATTGTCAGTACTAATGGACCGCCATTTCCCACTAAAAGGAAAAAATGACGTAGCACAGATGATCCTTGCAAAATGCAGAGCTTCAGAGCATTGTGTAGTAGAAAAGAAGAGTCGACGTTTAAATTAATCGCCTATGCTGGGGAAAGGGCCTCATGACATTGCCCTGTATGAACTCGCGTGTTTAGAGCTACACTAATCTCTTAATAAACGCTAACCGAGCCTAATAAAGGGGCAAACACAATCCAGAGATCAAAATGTGTTGTGAATGGTTACCTCAGAACGCTAATCGATCTGAGCACTTGAGCGTCTACCTACAAAAAAATTGGAACTAAATTGAAATGCAGCCAATATCAACAAAACCGAACCTCTGGAAAGGAATCGAGCTCACATTCATCACTTCCGAGGTAGTCTATGTAACGGAGAGCCATTAGTTCGAGTTCGAGGGACTGGCTTTGGTACAGAAGGCCATCGAGAACTAGAAAAGATTTTTACACCTCTCGCGGATCTACAAAAAGGACGGGCTGTGGAGGAGCGTGACACCAGTCGAAGTTGGGTTTGGAAGGGACTTTTTCCTTAAGCGATTTGATGCACCAGATATCCTCGGTGGAGGAGAGTCTCTTCCAGTGAGGTATGCTATTCCATGCAGGATCGGTGGGGGCAACTTCAGACATAACCGCTTTACAATCATTCTTCCTTGCCAAATTATGTGCATGCCAGCAGAGAGAATGCAGAAGCTCAGGACCTCCATCACCTTCGCAATGCAAACCAAACATGAATTGTACACCGAAAGGATGGAAGAAATTGGGGACGGAGGGTACCCGACACCCAGGGAGGCAGAAATCCACCAATCTGGACAATGCCGCCCCTGTTTTCTTGAACCATGAGGCGTTTTTGTACTCGCACTGGAACAAATCGTTGCTCCTCCATACGCTCAGCATGGCCCATGACGCTCCCTTTGCCCAGCTTGCGTCGACCACTTTGCCACCCCTGCCCCCCTCGCATGCAAAATTGTTTAACTCCTCATCGAGGCGGCTCTCCTTGAACGAGGCAATCCAAGTGCCTTCGCAGAGTTTGTTGCGCAGAACAGCGTCAATGTCCTTAGGGAAGAACTCGGCAGTGCTCATTGTGGCGCTATACAACGCTACAGCGTGATCGGGGGCTATCTTCGTCAATTGAATACGTGATGAAATACGGCGATCGTGGACGTGCACAGGTTGGATGAAGATTCCAGGAGTGCGGAAGTGGCGGTAGCTGAGACGCTCCGTGAAAAGCTTCAAGGAGGCTTCATTGTCCTTCTCCGTAGCCATGTAGACGTATTCAACGTCCTGTTCGCGACACCATTCTTCCATAGATTGTACCAACTTGAACGCAATACCTATCCGTCTGAAAGAAGAAAATAGCAACAATTAGTTTCCGGGCATCACACTGCGTGTTCAAGTTCTGTACGCTCAGGAGACTTGCGGGCGAGTATACCTATGGCGGGGGCAAACTCGTAGACCGAGAAGGTATCCCACCCGCGCATACTTGCGGATCGAAGCTTTATCTGAGCATGCAGCGCTCTGACTGCACACCACCTCCTTCACACTGCCTCTGATAACCCCTACAATTTCACCTCCGATTTCGGCGACCTGTTCCAAACACAACAAGCAGATTATTCAAACAATTTCCATGCATTACGCGGGTGATAATCGACACTGGTGCTCAGAGGACTTAAAACGAAACTCTCGGCAATCATTCGGGCCTTACCAGCATGTGGAATGCGGGAAGATGACGAACTCGACAGAGGGGATCGCCCAACCAATCAAAGGTAAGAGATTCGGACCCTGCTGGGCCCATTTCCACACGCTTGTCGAAAGCTGCAAGCTGTTTCACATCAAATTCGTTGTATTTGCGAATGATGATGTGGAGGTTGGACCTATCCTCCACGGGAGTCACTTGAGAGACCATTTTCATCTCTAAACTTGGAAGGAAAGAAAGAAAGAAAAAAGATCACAACGCAGATTCCAGGGTGATTGATCCGAACGCAATCCTTTTCACTCCGCTCACTGCCAGAGAGGAGATTCCAGGGTTGATTACAACAATGTCATCAGCGATGAGTCCATCCCTCACGCTCCTCTGCAATAACCTCGACATCTAGAACCGGAGGTCCCAACTGGACCGAATCCAACTTTCGCCCTCAGGAATGTGACACCATCCCCCACGACTGAGACGACCACCGCCAATCACTCCTCAACCCGGGCTCCATGAGCACGCACAACACTACCATCCAAATATCCTCACTCACACCTTGTCCTCACTCCCGGCACGACCTCACCCTCTAAAAATCTCTCAAAACATCGGAACCATCAAACCTCCCACTCCCCAAACTTTGACTCTCCCCAAACAGAAAACAACCAGCTGCGTTGCGGCGCGCGAGACCAACAACAACAACGTACGAAAGGCGATCTTCACAACAAGACGAAGCGCACAATTACACGAGCGAGTTGGAAGTATACTACTCCGAGAAAGGGGATACACACTACTACTCCGATAATGGCAAGGATCGCACAGCAGCAGGGAGCTATGAGCTGAGAGGATTCCGAATCTCATGGAAACGAAGGGGTGGTCTTGAACCCAGGACGGAGCACACACACACACACAATAAAAAAATTAAAAAAAAAAAAAAAAAAAAAAAAAAAACGAGCGAGAGAGAGAGAGAGGGAGCGCCGCCTAAAGGTGAGAGAAATGGGGCGAGATCGTTGGGAAAATATAGACTTGAACTAACTGGGCTGAACACATCAACGCAGCATTACAATGGACAGCCAACACGGGATCTTTTAGGCGCCGCCAGCCAGCCTTGATGGCAATGAAGGGCGAGGGAGAGGGATCCAGCTTCCTCTTCCTCCTCCTCTTCCTTTCTCCGGCTCGGCCCGGACCTGCTGTGATAGGTAGGTTCGGGGGCCCAGACCAAATTGCGACCTCCCTCCCTCCCTCCAGCCATTCATCGCAAGTCCGGAACCGTTAGCAGGAGAGCGGCGGAGGACTGACCCGACGATGCCGATTCGACCCGAGGGGCACGGGGCGCGGGGGATTGATCTAGGAATCGAATCCTTATCCCCTCCTCCTCCTCTGCTCTGTGGCAGCAGCCACCTTGTGAATCAATCCCACGTTGCGCGGTTGCTTTGGCGGCCCTCGCGTGGAGTTAGTTTTCTGGCGACCGAGAAAACTCATGGAAACTTGGAACCTTGGCCCGCTTACGGCGTCGTCACCCCCCGAGAGCTTGTACCCAGATGAAAATAGTCCACGGGCCCATGATGCTGTTGCCGTTTTCCAAATTTGGTTTTGGAGATCCCAAATTTGTGAGGAGGGGTGGCACTGCAAAAAGGTGTCCCACCAACTCGCCCTTTTGGGTTGGTTTGTCGACCATAATCCTTTTTCCATCCCCACTCTGCGTAGCGTCAATTCGTATGGGCCGTCGTATCCAAACCCAGGCTTACAATTCTGCGAAACTTAGAAACTCCAAGTTGGCAGGCGGTCCCCGCATTTCTGTTGAGCAGTTTGCATGATGTTATTTATCAGAGCCCCTAGCGGTCGGATGGCAGCAGCTCGTTTCGGGACGGAACAACACTCCCCAGAGGAGCTGCTCCTTGCTGGTGCTGCTGCTCTGACACTGACTCCTCCTCCTCCTGAGATGGAAAGCATGCGCGCAGTGCGAGGTTGAAGCCCATTCCCCTGGAATTCGGTAACAACGATTTCAACCCGCACTTGTTTGTGATCTCCGTTTCAGAGTGACGAGAACGCCTTTTGGTTTTTCCATTTTCTCTTCCCTTACTATATATCTTCACTATTCCACTATTCCCTTCTCTTGCATGCTTCTTCGGTGTGTGCAAGGATTTCCTCAGAAACCTTCATTCCGGGAATAGCTTCATCATTTCATGGTTTTCTTTTCTTTTCTTTTCTTTTTTTTCCTCCAGACTAGTTGCTCTACTCTGCCTTCATTCTTCCAAGCATCATGAACTTTTTCTCACTTTTTTGGGAGTCCTGGATTGGAATCTGATAATGCTGCTGCTCTCTGTGTAACTGTTTGTGTAAGAGTATTATTGTGTGTTGTATCTCTATTCATTAAATAGTCCTCATAGAGAAGAAGCCTCCACAACCCATTTACTCAACAAGTTTATATATGGCAGTGGAACTGGAAGCTTGTTTTGAGGTACTTACAATGAAGAAGAGCAGAGCCAGCTGCTCAGATGCTTCTAGAAGGGCTCTAAACTCCTCATAGGGTTACAGAACCAACCCACTACATCATTTCTTGTCTAGGATTGGATATCAAGCTGAATACAACTTGGTGGTGCCATGGTGAGTTTCATTGCCAAAGCCCCATCATCAAAATAAAATAAAATAAAATATTTAAAATTTGTGGTTTAATGTGTACTTTGAGGGAGCATTGATAGCTGCTGGAATAGAAGCTGTATCAAATAGGCAAGATAGGCAAGATTGTGTAAGATTTTTCACTAGGAGTTTTGTGATGGAGCAGTTGAGATTATAAAAAGTTGGTTTTATTATTATATGGAAAACAAAGGGGGCTGCTGTCTCATTTTTATGAATTAATTAATTTATTTTTCTTTTTTTAAATACACAACCATTTATAAAGAGAACTAGAAATCTAGGTAGGAGCTGCATGTCCAAGGGGAAGGATGGGATGGTTTTTTACAAGGATCATGCACAAAAGTGCTGAAAAACTAGGTCAAATGTGTCTTTATATTTCTTTTTCTTTACTTCATTGTTGTCTTCTTCGTCCCCTCCTCTCTCTTTTCTATGTATTGCCCTAATTCCTTATTTCATTATCTTATTCTCCTATTCCTTTGTTGTATCTCTTCTTAAAGAACTGGAAATTTATTCATTTCAATGATAAATTCATGATAGTTTGCTTGAATTTATCATGAGAATACATGCATGCCAAAAGGGTTTTTACTTTTATTTAAAATTGAACTTGCAGACTCTCATTCTGATTTCAACCTTTATTCATGGAGTAATTTCATACATACATGTCTGTATATATATATATATATATATATATAAACCAACCTATGTTCGGCTGGGGTGTCAAAAAATCTCATTAGCCGGGGCAATAGGGTGGTAAAACCCAATTACTCAGTTATTGGGATCAAAGGATGGGACAGGCTGACGGCAACAATAGCAGCAATGGTGCAAATGAACCTGACCCACACCTGGCTAACATGATGCCATTTTTTATTTTATTTTTAATTGCAATAAGGAGCACTAATTGGTATATATATAGTGTGTGTTTTTCTGTTTGATTGGCTGCAAAAAATGTACTCAACATTGGCATAACCAATGGTTTAACCACTAGTATGTATGTAAGTATATATATATATATATATATATATATAGTTAAATGTTTTTGTGTGGGTGAGAAAGAATAAAAGAAGTAGAACAAAGATGATAGTTCAAAGGTCAGTTTTTGAAACATGTATATAAGTAACATTTGAATCAATCAATTAATCAGTACACAATGTGTGTATGTGTTTATGTGTGGACACACACACACATACATGCACACACCCTCTCTCTCCTGTTTATGTGATTCCATCTGATCTGTGACAAGGTACTCCCCAGGCGATTCAAAGAGTGTGGCCAACAAGTGCATGGAAAGCATGAAGTTTCAGTGGGGAGCTAATGGAAGCAATGGTTCTAAGCTGTGTATCTGTGTCAGATGAGCATCTTAGACAACCAGGCATCTCTGAAAATATGGGAAGTCCTGGTGGGATAGGAGACAATGCCAGCACCTGTCCTGTGCAGAATGACATGGGTCTGAGCAGCAGCTTTTGTTTTGTGTTGTGTTTTGCTCCCTTACTGTACATGTATGTGTGTGTGAATGCATGAATGAATGGAGAAAAATCTCACCATGTCATGAAATATGAGTGAAGTAATATAACATACTTGGGAGTGGTAGGATACTATCTGTGGAAGCATCAAAGAATGTTTCAATCTTAAAAGTTGAAAAAGCTAATAAATCTCTAAACCTCCAATTATATGTATATATATATATATATATATATGTAGGAATGCAAGAAAACAGAAAAGTAAGATCAAAGCGGAAGTGTCCATTTAATGCAATTATTATTTGTCTCGTTGCCCAAGTTCTTTTATTATGTAGTATGATTTTCAACATGAGAATGAAAGAAAATAGAGAAAGAGAGAAGATGGAAATTTAATCTTACTTAAACAGTAAATCAACCTTTGGTGACTCGCAGCTAGGTGAAAAAACTCCAACATGTTTACACAACCCATTTGTGGCTTTTTCGTTTGTAGATCCTTACCCTCAATGAGAAGAGAATTCAGCTCCGTCTTTTTCACCCATAGTGATCTGATTTTGCAGCGCAAGGATGAGCAGCTGCTGATGATCTAGTGGCGTGGCTTCCGAGGCGAGTGTGAGCTCATAACACTCCAAAACCTCAGTTCCCCATGTAGTAACAGTAAGTGGTAGTTGTAGTTTGTTTGTTTGTTTGTTTGCTCACTGACGAGCTTGAGGTACTACCCTGATCATCGACTTTTGATGGGATCACACACAGGAAGCCAGCCACTGAAAAGAAAAAAGAAAAAAATGGAGTCCAATCCAAGAGCTCCAACAGTTGGTGGCCAAGCCATGGATCAAATCCAACTCTGCCAAGAAAATCGGCTCAAAATTGCAAGCAGAGGACACACACACAGTAGCAAAGCAGAAGAGCCTGTCGGTCTTGTCTGAGACACAAGTTCTTGACTGTAGCTCTCGTAGCGTCATCTCCCCAGTTTTGCATTAGAGCTCCTGGCATAACTTCTTGCTCACATTTGTGGTTTTAGTATTTTGATATTGTCAGGATTGAGGGAGCTGTCTTGTACCAACGGGAATTGCAGTTGCCTTTCATGCATCCCCATGCTTGCAAGCTCCAAAAGACACCGCCATGAAACTCGAAATCGTGTGTGGTATTGGTGTGTAGGGAGGCCCTTAGTCTTAGTTCGTACTTTGGTAGCAAGTGCTGTGTCCCGATTAGTGGTGTGGTTTACAGGAAATGAGGAATGTTACTAACATTACTGTTTTGGGAAACTTAGCTCTATGCTTGTCTCCGGACTAGGATGTGCAAAAGAAATTTCAATTTTGAACCAAAATATATTTATATTTGACGAAGTGACACTGAAGCAAATATTGAGGAATCAAGCGAAACCAAGGTGTTCCCGTGAGCAAGAGCAAGCTAAGGATATTTACGCACTGGTTCTCCAGGTTGTACTAGAAAGGCATATCTGAGTATGTGCACGATGTGAGTTGTAAACCTTGGTGGAGTTCATATGGCTTTTGAGGCTGCTGAATAGCCGCATCAAAGATGACAATGTGAACAAGGCTTGATCGGTCATAGTGCACACAAATCATGCGAGTGTTCAACACACAGGAGACAGGGCAGGAAATTGTTCACAGCTCTCTCAAGCATTCGCTGAACTTTTCAGCAACGCTTAAGAGTAATAGGGATTTGAACAAGTGAACAGACAGTGGTGTGCTGCATGCCTACTGCTACTATTACTGCAGCAGAGCCGGCCGCTGAGCTGGACCCACTCTCAGCTAGTTTGACATAATCCAGCAGTGTGGGAAATAGGTGCAAGACAGGTCTTTACGATGGGGGCCAAGGTATGGGTAAGTGCATGACCTGTAATCTAAGGAGGTTTATGTCGGCCTTTCTGACTGCTTGGGCGACTGATCTGACTTAGCGTCTACTCAGATGCTGACTTTTCAGAGGTTTGAATCCATGACCTTTATCTAAACAGCGGTCATCTCCACATTGGATCTGTCAATGGGGGCGATTTAGCTCAAAAGAACGTCTTCCTTCCGCACGCTGTGCCGTGCTACCGCATGAGCGTTAAGACACAGTTTTCCTCCCCATTTGTATTTGTTGCTCTGCGAAAACATACGAGCCCAATAAGACGAAATATTGTCAAGTTCTCCAATTGAGTGTGTACAGTGGCCGCCAACAGGATGTCACAGAATGTGTAAAATTCTTCCAAAAAAGGGGAGACACTCCGGTTATCAGAGAAATTAGATTTGTTAATTCAGGTCAAATAGACAATGGATATGCCATTACCACTATTGAGTTCTTGTCGATTAGGAGTGCGTAGACGACTTCACACCAGTTTCGCCGAAATCACTTGGTATAATCCAGTGATTGAAATGCTTGAAATCATATCTAAGTAATTTTCCACGCTGCAAACACTTGAAAAATACAGAAATAAAATAAATTAGTCGTATTGCTCATTAAATTCAGTAAGCGGATAAAGCTCTAAAACATTGTGACAGTTTATTAACATGTCATATACACCCACTGAATCTTCATTGTTTCAGGCACTAGTACATAACTACTAATACTATGAAAATAACAGGTTGTAGAAGAAGTCAAAGACTGTCCATCGGTCCCTAGGATAACACAATCTGCCTTGGTTTTCTAAAAATAATTTAAACAATTTATTATATTTAAGAAAATGACAGACGTAGAAGCTTTCTGCAGGCACAAATGATTTCAGAAAGGCTCAGTTCACTATGTCTTACCTCAAGACAGATGGTAGAGGATAGAAACACAGAAATGAACAACATTAAAAAAGGGACGGGATTAGGCACTATGGTCAATCTCAGGATATCCTTCAGAATGCTCCTATCTTTCAACTCTAACGAAGAAAGCTAGGATTGAAGCATAGAAATAATCTGAGGAATATTCCAAATCGGAAAAGGGGACTAATCCTATTGGTAGTTGGTATCGTGTGACCTTCCAAATCTGAAAGAGAGCCCCAATCCAATCGGCGCTTGGTGTTACGTGATCCGAGATGCTAGAGAATAAACCATGACAGATACAAACTTTGGCTTCATGGATCAAAAAAATCATGTAAGCTGTTACAGGGCAATGGGTGCAAAGCTATGACACTGAAATCTCTTCAATTCCAAGACAGGGTGGTGCTTGAAGATCGATTTAAGCCACGTCTTACAGATCATGCTGCAGGATATCCATCAAGCCAGAGAAAAATCTACAACAAGAGCTTGAGATAAATATCTGGTATGTAGAGAGGAGCACACCTTTTGATTGGAAGTCCACTTGTAGCTTTGGAAATGCATTGTGCGTATCTGCTTCCAGTTTTAACAAGGAACTTGCTTTAAAACCATCGAGGAACAACCTGAAAAGACATACTCATTTGGCTCAGCCATCAGGATTTTATTTACACCTCGATTCATGTTCTCACCAGACGCCTGAGTCATATGTCGTGTGCACCATGCAGCACATGATAGCACACAATAGCACAGAGCAGCACAGAGGGGCACACAGCAGCACGCTGCTGAACATGATTTGTTATTAAAATGGGCTCGTACCAAGCTGTAACATTTTTGAAATGAAGAACTGTTCATTGTCAGAAGGATCCTTCACAGTGGTATCCTTGGAAAAAGTGAATACATCCAGCATTATTTACTAGGTTAAATTCCACAACACTGAGTTTGTCACAAGTCTATTAACCGTAAAGAAAAACCCTGGGTTTTGATGTCAATGGTACAGTTATGAAATTCCTAATCTGTTTACGCCGATTGTTCAGTTCACTGCACGCTGGAGTTAAACTAAAAAATGCACAACTTGTCCAACGAAGAATCCCTGACGCTTGATTTTCCCTCCACGATAGGCCTGAAACTCATCTCCCATTCTCTCATACGGGGTGGTTTCCCAATTATGGAATGTGTAAAAGACCAGCAATATGTCAGAACTGTGAGCCGAGGAAAGGCAGTTCATCAGAAAATCCGGGTTTAGGTCCCGCTTCTTTATGACCACTCTCATGCAATAGAATTATTGGGATTAAGTATTGTACTGATCTAACTTCTACCCAAATATTCAAGGTTCCTAAAATTTAGAGACCTGATATACCAATTAAGTGGAAGCAAAGTCTTCAACGGGTTTTCAGGACCACCAAGAGAAAGTGGTATCTGCAAAAACTACTAGACCAATAGCTTACACCACAAAGACGGTTACCTGGCTGAGACTTAAAACAACGACCTCCTTCGCAATGCCTCCTTTCTCAACAAGATCCAGTAAAACCTGCCCAGAGAAGTAATCAGTAATACCGTCGAACTGAGTGAAACTGCCTGCTAAGGTTCTAATCAGAAGCCGTGGTTGAGAACAAATAAATGAAGTCCAGCAATGTTTTTACCACTTCAAGAGAATTAAATATGAAATAGCATGCAAAACTTCATTAAAATGTCGATTAGTAAGAATAAGTTGTGCAGTAATTTCAATTATAAAGCACATGAGCCATCACATCTATAGAACTTACGTCACGATCATTTCCAAGCACAAATGTCTTGCAAAGAGGGGCATAAGCTCTCATGGTAGCGGCGTTCGATATTAAGAAGCCCAGGTAGTATTTCCTTGGTTGCATCTATATATTCCTGAAATAAGATGGTTGGACTTGAAGTGGCAATTCTGGTACAAGTTCGCACTGAGATCATGCTTAAGCCTACAAGTAACTTCCTGGTGCTGCAACGTTGCTCACGATCAGCATTTAGCGACATTACTTCCATTTAAGAGGCCATGAAGAGCCCAGTAAGATCAACTGCAAACCTGCTGTAACTCATATTCTGATTGTCTGGTCTTCTCATCTACTTCCATGAAAAGTGTTCTCGACTAAGACTCAGAACCATGTGACTGCTGGGCACCAGACACTATATCTCACAAAAGAATCGTTGCTGCCGAGCTTGAACGTTATCCCTACCGATACTCGAGTTGTAGGACCGCAAATTTTTTGCCATGCTGAAAGCTTCCATTCTTGTTTTTTAAGCTAAAAATTGCATCCATCCCGAAACAGAAAAACAAAATGTCACACAGGGACAAAAAGAGCATAGGTACCAAACCGGGATCCACTCTTGGGCATCGGCATTCTGACATAGCATCGCATCAAACCCACCTGCACGCTTCCATTGCTGATACCCAAGTATCGCACCATTCACTGCACTTCTGCTGCATACTCTGTTACTTCAAGTGCATTTTGCATCTGTGACTCCGAAACTACTTCCAACAGAGTCACACCAGCCCGATTAGAATCCACCTGAAAAGACGAATTTTAAGCTCTGAAGTGGGAAAGTCTCCAAATTGTTCTTACTTCCCCCAGCATCAGGGTTTTTAGGATTCAGCCATAGACTTCAGGGTACACACCTGGGATAAGGAGGAGTCAGAGAGATGGTCATTTGCAGCGTGAATCAGTTTGCCAGCATCTTCTGAAAACCTGAGCAACCCAAAATTCAGCTATGGCCGCCGCCAAACTCCACAGACAAGTCGACATCGATGTAGCCCCTCTCGACGGTAGGAATGCTAAATTGCGAGATGCAGCAACTCCTCTGAACAAGATCAGGGTAAAAGTACTGCTCTCTGTCGAACTTAGGCTTCAATGTAATGTCTGCCTGGAGAGATACTCTGTTTCATCATCGCAGGGGTGGGTGTACGCTGGTCTACTGCTTCGAGAGGGTTTGCACTACACAGAGAACTCATGATTTGTTATGCTGCCAGTATGTTCCATTTCCATTCCCATTTCAATATCCCCCAATGCTGCAACTCCTCTGAACAAGATCGACACGTCTGCACCGAGGTTAGTCCCGTTCAGCGCCATGACAGCATAAACGCCCGCTACTCCACTAATTGCTTTTTAATCAATTTCGAATTCTGCATGTTTCTCTAAAAAAAAAATTGAACTGCAGTCATCAAAAAACATGATCCAGCTCGTCATCCAAGGCTCAGAAAATTTGTAACCACTCCACCACGACTGCTCAGTGCTCTTCGGCTCCTCGAACCCTCAACATCTCAATGCACAATCGTTACCCCACTATCGTCCCAGCAAAAACCGCCCCCAATGAATAAATAAACAACGATGAACGAAAGTAATAACTGAAATAGAGTAATTCAATATGTGCAATTCTTAACTGTACCCAACTTGATTAGAGCAGTCCATCTCGTGACGACGGTAGAGAGATCGACGATTCAGATTCTACAACCCAGAATGGCCTCGGAGTATGAATAAAAAAACCTAAAGTTGAAGAACCGAGTTAACCATCTTCGATCAAATGAATTGGGTCATCCGCTACGGGGATGAACAGGAGCCGTATATTCCCAAAAACACAAACTAAACGAATTTCTATCATTTTGTGAACATTGTTTTTTGAGATTCATGCAGATCGTATGCAGGAAGTTGGATTCGGTGATTGGAATTGAAGGAGAGCAGATATTACGGTTTTTTTGAGGTGGGTCTGCCTGAGACTTAGGGTTGGGGAGGACCATCGGAGGTAATGTTTTACAGAGTGTTTTAGAGGAGGAGAAGCATTTTGAGGGTCAGGAAGATGGCTATCGTCAGAGCTGGTCGGCATCTGCTGGCTCGAGCGACAGGAAAGCAGGCGAATGCAAGCGGGCGTCCAGTGCGGATGATTCGACCCGTGCGCTTGAAGCGGGAGGAGCCGCCGTTGCCAGTTCAAGCGCCCTTTACACAAGAGATTTTTGACACGCCAAATATCAAAATGGCTGTGGGCATGGTGTTGGCAGTGGTGCTTGCGAAGCTTACCATGATGGTACGAGTTTCGGCAATTTCGTAATGTCTTGTTGATTCTGGTTCATTTGCATGATTTTTGGTTTCTAGAGAGATTGAGAGGTTGTGCACAGAGGCCCTGCTTGTGGATGGGCGGCTAGTAATGGTGCAATTCTTGTAAACGGTTAATTTGTATTTTGTATGTTTGCTATGCGTAGTGTTTGACTTCTCTAGGATACTCAGAATTTTTTCTTTTTTCTTTTTTCTTTTTCTTTTTTTTGTAGATGTGGATACGCGTCGATATGTTTCCGGAAAGTGGTAATTACGTGTTCTGAGGTGTATTTGAGGTGTATCTTCTCTTCAGTACGACGAGTCGTTGGAGCCGGAGCGAATTGAGAGGCAAGCTAGAGAATTCGCCGAGGTGCAGGCCAATTTGAAGCCGTTAAGTAGAGATGAATGGGAGGAGATCCAGGAGCTTCGGCCGCGGACGCCGTTTGAGTCCAAAATTGGTCGATCTCATTCTCGCATTCGAACAGGAGAAGTGTTAAGCCTTGTGAGTTCATAGCTGAATTTTCCCTTGACCTTGAGCTTGATTACATGATCAATGCTCCCGACTGTTTTTGCTCCTACCGTTGCCTTGTGTAGAGTTGTAGACGTTTCAGGAAGTTCTGTTGCTTGAATTTGCAGGGATAGTATAACTCCCATGCTGTTACTTGTTTGAGATTTTTTCCACGACGGTGTGCATGCTTGAATGTATGTGGAGATTAAGGATGTTTTGAGGTAGGATTTTATACCATTTAATGAAAAAAAATTAGGTGTAACTTATGGTATATTCGTGTGATTGTGCTGCATAAATCAGGAGGACATTAAGGACTGGGCCTTCGATGTTCTGATGGAGGCTATGATGCGAAAGGAGGAAACGGTGCAACGATCTTTAGAACAATAATCTTGAAACCTAAAGACAAACACCTGTTAGAGTTGACACACAGCGGCCAGCATTCAGCAATGTTGGAGGCTTTCAACCACTCGTGTATGGATGCTCATTACCTGCATTGCTGGCATTGCTTGCGGGTTTCTGCAGTCTGCTACGTTTCGGCCTGGAGCAGCAAGTGGGATGATTTTCGGCGATGCATGGAAGCCTGTATTCTCACTGGCGAGTAGTTAGGTTCATGCTAAGTGATAAGTAATGTGCAGTCTAGATGAAGCTGCATAGAGCTTTCAATGGCGGGTCTCTGACGGCGGCATTTCTGGTCTAACGTCAGTCTGGTAATCTCGCCTTTAAGCCAATATTTAAAAGTTTCTCTGTTTCCCTCTCAAATGCGTACTCAAATCTTACCCTGAGGATGGTATCCAAGGAGGTATTCAGATTGAATCAGGATCAGGTGTTTATTACTCGGGTCTTTTCACGGCTGTAAATTGGAATCAGTCATTGGGTGCGTACAGTTTTGTATATTCACTTAAAGAAATTGCAGTAATTCTGAGAGAGGAGCCAGAATTTAAATAATATACGCAGTTAGCAGAGTCTACACGTAGCCAGAGAAGTGCTGCTATATTATGGAGGAGTTTGCTTCATGTTGCAACAAGAATTAGTAACCCCACCGTAGTCCAGAGTATTTACAACTGAATATTCAGCTATCTGCATAACGATAGTTCGTTCCACAGGCATAGGAAAAAACTGAAATGCGTGGATTTCTTCACGGCATCAATTGTGTTTATAATCCTTCTCAAACCTACGCCGAAGTTGCAAAACCTTATCGAAAAGCTTCATGTCCATTCCATCCACGTTCCGCCCCACTCTAGCCTTCAGCGTGAGCTGCAAACTTCAAGACCACGTCTGAACATCCAACTCGAAACTGTGCCATTCAAAACTGATAGTTCAACATTTGAAATCCACCAGCATGATTCCCATGTACCTGTTGAGTGGTGTCCACTTCCAATTCGCCGATGAACTCAAATAATGACCCTACGCGAAGCGGGAGCTCCCGCAAGTGCTCGAGGTCGAGTCGGAGAGAAGCACCCGCATCAACTAGGACGGCAATACCGGAAGTTGAGTCAAAGCTCTGAAGGGATCCCACCACACGCAAAGACTGATTCGGGAGGACGAACGATGAACCAGGTTGAAGCTCCTGCAATCGCACCACTAGGCCGGGATTTAGGGTTACGACCGCCATAATTATTAAAAAAAAAACTTCAACAACAATGATGCTTCTGCCCTAACCCTCCAAAAACATCCATGGTACTGGAACTGCATCATGAAAAATGTTCTTCCTCCAAACATTTCTGAAGTGTTCCGTCGATGAAGATCTCTCAAATGGGTATTGGACTTTCAGAGTCAACTAAATTTGGTTACATGAAGTTTTTGCTTCACTTTGAGGAATCACTGTGAGTTTGCAACTGCGAGCTATTTTCTTGTTCTTGGGGTCATCGGTCTCAGTGACCTCTTCGTTTCGTCTCTAGGATATTGTAGCAGGTAGCGTAGAATTAATAGGTTTGTTTTAGGTTGTGCAATGTGACTCGCGGAAGTAATGGTAGAAATGTGTAAATGAGGGGGTAAGTTGGACCTTCCTTTGAATGAAGTGAGAGGTGGCGGTAGGGAGATAATGGGGGTTTGGGAGGAGGGACTGTACGTAAGGAGGTGTTCGAAGGAAGGTAGCGGTGTAGTAAGACCTGTTGTATTCGCGTGTCTGTAATCGCTAAGTGAGCTGGTAGGTATGGTCCTGTGAGGAATCGCCGCTGTGCTTCAGTTGGATTGCCGTTCTTCGAAGGCGGGAAAGTTTGCAGTGATGAACAATGTGATGCATTACTCAATGCTGATGTTATGCTGTGCACTATCCCTTTCTTGAAGAAATCTGAGAAGGTGTGCTGAGAGGCTGCATGTATCTAAGAAGTGCACCATGCTCTTCAACAGTGATATTCTACATGCTCCAGGCGGCACTGAGATTTGTACAGCCTGTAGTTCTTAGAGAGGAGTAGTTTGTGTTGTTTAGCGGCTATCGTGGCCATGGTTATTAGTGTTCCTGGTTATGCACACTAAGAAGGGCGTAGTTTAGAGGTATGGTCGTCTGCAGCTACAAGAACCGTAGACCAGCATACTTCCTGCTTGGGAAGTTACTGCGCATGGGACCGCATTGTCGATGACGAGGAGGAAGAGCAAATGCTGATTTGGATTGAGTTTAATTTGGAAGTCGTACCTTGGACGGTTATCATGAAGGCCTCCAGGAAAACTTTGCTGGTCTTGCTGTGGACGTGGATGTTGCCCTCAGCGTGTGCTGCACTTGCGCCGGAAACACAAGCGCTGCTTGACTTCAAGGCTGGGCTTACTAAGGGCGACATTTTGCTTAGCTCTTGGAATAACACCAATGTAGACTCCCGCGGGTGTCCTGTCCAGTGGAAAGGTGTGACGACGTATGACGGCAATGAATGTCGAGTTGTTGAGCTTTGGCTGCCGGCGAGTGGTTTAGTGGGCAGTATTCCGCAAGCCATTGGCGGTCTACTGAGCCTGGTTAACCTCTCATTGGCGCAAAATGAGCTCGGAGGCGACATCTCCCCAATTTTGAAGCTGCCAAACCTCATGCGTCTCTTCCTCTCTGGAAATGCTTTCTCAGGTGCTCTAAAGTTTGAGGTCGCTTCGAAGTTGGTTGTGGTGGACCTCAGCGACAATAACTTCTCAGGCTCCATCGAAATTCTGTTTCCAGAGGGCCTTGCAGATATGGACCTTTCTGGGAATGCTTTTGCTGGTAACATACCCCAGGAGCTGTTCCAGAAAACTACTCTCAAGACTCTTGATCTTAGTCGAAATAAGTTGAGAGGACCAATACCTGCCGTGCTGCTTATGGTCTCCCTCACAACTCTTAGGTTGTCAGACAACATGCTCGAGGGACAACTTCCACTTGAGTTGTTCAATGAGCAGACGCCACAACTTCGAGAGGTGGATCTCAGTCGGAATCAGCTCAGCGGTAAGTTAATCGATCTTCACTCTTTCACTCACAGATTTTATGTATTCTCGATGTTGTATCACGACTATCACGGAGATTAATCTATAAAGCATAACCTTAAAGAATGGACGTTTTAATCTGGAAGTATTGAACCCATCTCTGAAGCACTTGACACAATAGCTTTGCATGATTTGAGGGAGTCAGAGAATCGCATGTTCCTCAATTATGGTTCTAACTCTATTCCCAAATAATTTTAGGGAAATTACTTCAGTCCTGCTAATAGACACTTTGTTGAACTGATCACGTTTGAACACACAAGAGACCTTATTTTTGACGGGAAGTTTTACTGAAACTCGGCGTTCTGATTAAGTGTCAAAATTAGGATACCTATATCACTAACTCGTTGATGTAGGGTGTGATGGTTAACAACCCATGCCATATTTTCTTCTGGCTTGTGCAGGTAGCTTAGGTCCTGTGACAACCAAAGTCATGAGTATATTGAAGCTTGCTTCCAATGGTCTGACAGGCCCTCTGCCTTCAAAAATACAGTCTTGTAGTGTGATTGATTTAAGTAATAACCAATTTTCTGGAGGAGTATCGTTAAGCAAATGGAGCGCCAACCTCCGGACGCTGGACCTCAGTCATAATAACCTCAGTGGTACCATAGACAACGCATCCCTGGTCCAGCTATTTCAGTTGAATGCTCTCAATCTCAGCTCCAATCAGCTTTCTGGTTCTATCTCTCCACAGCTGTTGGCATCGCCCTCCATCACTGAGCTAGTTTTATCACACAACCAATTCCAAGGGCCTATTCCCAATCCGTCCACGGCAACAACTTTGCCCCTCAGTTTATTGGACCTATCCTACAATCATTTAAGTGGAGGTATTCCTGATTCATTAGGTTCATATCTTAAACTCGTTGTTCTCAACTTGAGCACAAATCAGTTGGAGGGAACCATACCGGGGCGTTTATCTAATCTGGTGCAGCTTCAACTTCTCGACCTGTCCAAGAACTTGCTGAGTGGCCTCATACCTGCAAAGCTCTCTTCACAGCTAGAGAGCTTGAATGTATCTGGCAACAATTTATCAGGCACAGTACCTTCAAATCTTGCCATCTTTTCGAACTCATCTTTCTATCCTGGAAATCCGAACCTCCTATTCCCAAATGCGCCTTCTGATGCTCCAGGCTCTGGAGTACAAGTTACCTTGGGAAACAGTCACAAACAAGTGAAAATCGCGTTGAAGATTGGGTTGATAGTAGGGATCACTCTTGGTGCAGTATTCATCGCAGCATTAACCTTGGTTATATATTTTTGCAAAATGTTAAAACCTTCGATGAAACCACCTGTTACCAAGTCCGTAGACCAGGATACCAAACCAAATACCGACGTTGGTGTGGTTGTCGAGCAACCTGATGTTCCATCCTCAGTTCCCAGGGGTTCTGTAAAGGGTGCACTAGCACCACCTAAAGCAAGAAGTGATATCAAAAGGGATGCGCTCGACTTGCAGAAGAGTGGCGAATCACCGATGCGAACCAAGTGGCGAACTGGAGGGACGCCCTCTGATGATGATGGCTCGGTCTCTGCTGAGCACCCCATGGTGTTGAAAGTCAAATCTCCGGATCGCTTGGCTGGCGACCTTTTCTTTCTTGATGCGACGCTTCTCTTCACTGCTGAGGATTTGTCACAAGCTCCAGCAGAGGTTCTAGGAAGAAGTAACCATGGCACGTCATACAAAGCTACCTTAGACAATGGCCACGTGCTTACAGTGAAATGGCTCCGTGAGGGCCTTGCTCGAAACAAGAAGGAGTTCACCAGGGAGGCCAAACGATTTGGGGGTATCAAGCACCCAAACGTTGTTTCATTACGAGGCTATTATTGGGGCCCTCGAGAACACGAGAAGCTTCTGTTGTCTGATTTCATTTCCACAGGCAGCCTAGCTCATCATTTATATGGTCATTTTCCACTTCCTCTTCTCTGTACTTGGTGACTAAGTTATTAGAGTAGTATTGTTTTCAGAGGGATTGGACTGTATGTGAGCCGATAAATTATGATAGTTTGCACATTTTCCTCATTAACTCAGAATATCACTATTTTGAAATTTTTATTAACTCGTTATTGTGATGCAGAAAGGACAGGGCGTAGGCACCCTATACTGACATGGGAGCAGCGGCTACAAGTAGCAGTTGGAGTTGCTAGTGGGTTGGCTTGTCTGCACAACAAGCATGGAGTGGCCCATGGTAACCTCAAGGCAAACAACGTTTTTCTTCAGGGCCCGCAGTTAACTGCCAGGGTGTCCGACTACAGTCTCCATCGTCTGATGACTGTTGCTGGGACTGCCAATCAGATCTTGAACGCAGGTGCCCTTGGGTATCGGTCTCCTGAGCTGGCTGCCACACGCAAACCTAAACCCTCATTAGTAGCTGATGTGTACGCACTGGGTGTAATTTTATTAGAGTTACTTACAGGCAGAGGTGCTGGAGATATAATGTCTGCCAACTCTGGGGCTGTGGATTTACCGGATTGGGTTAGGTTGGTCGTCAAAGAAAGCAGACCAGTGGATTGCTTCGACACGGCGCTTGTGGGTTTGCACAGAGAGCAAGAGCCTCCCAAGAGCATGCATGAAGTGCTAACCATAGCCCTCTCATGCATGACTCCTCAAGCATCGAGGCCAACTGTTAAGTGCATTCTAGATCAGTTGGTTGCTTTGACAGATGCTTGACAGTCGATACTGTTTGGAAGATGGGTTCTTTGATACATTATGTACATTTTCTGCTTGTGTGTTCTTACATTCAAATTGTTAAGCATTTAACGATTACCGTGCAAGTTCTCTGCTATTGAGACTGATTTGTTTAATAGTCCAGCATTTGACTGTTTGAGGAATCAAACGTGATGGATCCATCAGTGTGCAAATTGTTCTTCTTCACCAATAGGTCACGTCCAACATTGGATTGGTATTAGTGTGAGATTCATTTGAGATTTGGAAAGTGAAGCTAAGAATTGATGGTGGCACGCCAGCAGCAGTGCGTGCCGTGTCCTACTTAAACACTAGACGAATTGGAGGACTTTTCTGACATTGTACACGTTTCTTAAATGGTTGTGTGAGTTTTCTTGCAGAACCAGATATTACTGTACTTGATTAAAAATACATGTTCCGACAGTGGACTACCCTAATAATGTCTGTAAGCAAGTGTACAGCATATCTAGCAGCAGATAGTGCGTCAGGTTAACCAAACTTCACAATTTGAATTAGCGATGAGAGAAACATATTATTATCGTGTGCAAAAAAATTTAAATAAAAAACAACAGAGTTGATGAAAAATGTTACATCATGGCATAGGTTGCCGTGACGGTGAATTTAGACCTTTGCCTTTTCTAAAGGTGCCTGACCTAGTCATGACTACCAACGTACAAAGCCACAAATCTACTGCTTCTTTGTCTTCAGGTATGGCAAGGCACCAATGACGTTCTGCCAATCGCAATGCTTCACCTCGGTCTGCAAGGTTAGTAAAGATGTTTGATTAGCCCCCATCCGATTATGGTGACGATCTACACATCTACACTGCGAGAACTTATAGAATGAAAAGGTGATACAAATTCATTCAGGGATTCTTCTCAGCCGGTGCTAGATTTATCTAACGTAAGAGGACGTAACACTAAGGCTAAGAAGCATAGACCGCACAACATTGAATAAAACCATACCTTGCCCGCCAGCCGATTCTTTCGCTTGGTGGACTTCTTCCTCAGAAGATGAGCCCTTCCCGCACACCTCCTGGTTATCTTCCCGCTGCCTGTTACACCGAACCTCTTGGCAGAAGCCTGCATTACAAAGAAGAACGCGCCATGTGGTTCAATTTAAAAACTTCGATTTCCAAGAGAATTCCTAGGAAATCATGGAAGTAAAACTAGGCTTAAATGGCAATCCTTCATTCCCCTGTCCTATGTCCGTCAATACATATTCCATTTCCATTACTGGTAGAGATACAAGCATCAGGTGGTGTTCGAATTTTCTAATGCATTTCCTGGATTTTTTCGGGGTCCAGTGGACAATACAATATACTGCCACCAAACCAAGAGGAATGCACGTAATAGAATGCTCAGGAACGCCGGACATTGCCATTACAATGAGCAACAACTAGGTCTAACGCACTTTCAGATTCATAAATCCCATTCCCATTCCAGGATACAAAACCACGGTGCCCCGAATTGGACACATTCAATCAACATCACCTGCGAAAACGAAAAAAAAAAAAAAAAAAAAACACAACAACAACAACAACAACAACAACAATACTCGTCTACCACATTCAAAACTCAAGGGAGAAATCCGCCAACCACGCACCTTGTGAGACTTGAGCTTGTAACCAGCGGCAGCGACGGGCTGCACGACAAGCTTCCTACTCGCAGCAGGCTTCACCTGGATGGCCGAGAATGACACGCTGGTCGTCGACTTGAGCGACAAACCCTTGAAAGAAGATGCAAGCGAGACGACGCTGGGCGTCGCCAGAGTGCATGCTTGCAACATCATCGCCATCACTTGAACTCTTTCTACTCAATCCGTCCTCCTCAGCCCTCAGCTCTTGAGAATTGCGCAGGCTCTTTCTCTCACTCACTCGCAATTGCAACAACAACAACCAGACGTGGTTGCAACAAGGCCTCGGCAATCAAGGAGAAGATTATCCAGACCTCTGTCTTCCCCCTCTCTCTCTGTTCACGCTGGATAAGGGTGGAGGAGGAGGGTCCGGGGTCACGGTCTTGGGTGTCCGCGGTGGGGAATATATTCCCATGGAGGGCGCTCTACGACCGTCTGTCTGGTACCGTGGGTGCGAGAGTTTAGTGAGTGAGTGAGTGAGTGATTAGTGAGTGAGTGAGTGAGTGATTAGTGAGTGAGTGAGTGAGTGATTAGTGAGTGAGGTGGTGTTCACATGGTGGTTGATTACTCACCATTAGTTGCTTTGATTCCCCTTTTCGGCAATATCCTCCAAATAATTGAGTTTGTTTCCATGAAATACATGTAAAACATACATGTCACTTCTTTTAATTACCAATCAGAAATCCCGTTTGAACTGATTATTGCTGAATGGTGATTTGACATCAATAGAGTTTCAATCACCATGCACCAAGCTTTAATTACTAATCAGCAATTCCAATCACCATTCATCACTTTTCATATAATGTATGTACCTACTCACAAAAAGGTACATACTCACAAAAAGGAAAGTTAATATTAACTTCAAATGAAAATCTATGATTACAAAGTGGGAGCGCACTGCCCATCTTGGCCTCATATTTTTCTTAAATGAATTCTGACACTAGCAACAATGAATGTCACGCACTACAGTTTCGTTCACCATGTGTGTTGGATACCATGCTCATATCATTAACACTTATTCTAAAACCAACCAAATAACATTTTGAAATAGGCAGAAAAATTTCCTGTCAGCTCTAATTGAGAGGAGTTGGGTGTCTTCGATAAACACGCACAAGTACTCAAAACCTGTACAACATTTTCCTAATTGGCCTTACGGCGTAACACTGCATCAAACACCAAATTCTCGGAGTACCCTACTACATGTGCAAGCTACCGAGTAGGACAGCATCCGCCCACCTGCTTTGAAAGACATGAAACTTGATTAGTATTCATGATGTTGAGAGACAAGCACTGAAAGTACTATTCAGCAATTGTCTGACCACATTTCTCAATCTGCTGTCACCAAGGAAGAGGATTGATTGGTGTGTTACGATGTACTCCCCACAAAGTTGACAAGATTTAAGATGGTAAGAAAAGCAGATTCCAGTCTCAAAAACAAATCAATTCTTGTACGAGGCAAGGAGTTTCAAAAACCAGCAGACGAACGATGATTTGTGCATGGGAAAGGAATGTCCGCCGATGGTGAGCTGGTAATGAAGGGCTCTACTGGCATAAACAGCAGCCAACGAATTGATCGAGAAACACACATTGCCGCTAGTGACACATGACCTCGAAACAAGTAACTGAGACTTTTGGAGTCATCCGCAAACTGGAACCCCAGAGCTATAACAGCTGATTCTCACTGGCTCTTTGGGGAATCAAATGCTTAAGATGAAGTTAACCTAATTATGTCGACAGGGTGTGGACAAGCTGTTCCAAACATCACCTACTGAACTCGTAGCAATACATTTGTTAAATAGGTTCCTTCAGGATATGCTGGATCTATGGTATGGTCGGGTGCAGCTCCTGCATAACGTAATTGCGTGACTCGCCTATTTGCTGACATGGCTGCCTCCTGCGAGAAATTTTTATAAAAGAATGTTATTTCAAATGTATTTAAATCACTTGCTATTTCTACTGTAGCATAGAACATAGATGAAAATGAAAGTTGAAGAGACTTGATATCCAAGTTTTGTTAAAATTCAGTCAATTCATCTGCTTGAGAACATAGTATGCGGAAAGGAGACAACGTAGACGTTAAGGTCCAAGCAGCATCACAAAAAAAATCCAGTCAGCAGGGCACAGTTAAATGAACATCTCTAATGAGGATAAAACCTGAATAACAGAAAGAAAATTGCCACTTTGAGTCATCGCTCCTGAACATGAACAGGTCATGAGCAGGCCTCCTGGTTTTGTCAACCGTATTGCCATCGCATTTAAATTTCGGTACTTCGCTGTCGCACGTTGCAGGACCTGCACGTCATGAAAAATAGTCATCAGATCTATTCTCCATTGAACGGACTAAGAAGAATACAAGGATTAAAAAAATGCTCTGTACAACTTCCATGAAGCATATAAAAAATCTAAAAACTGTGGTAGACATCCTTCACAAGCTACATATGACGAGCTGTCGGTGAATCCATTCCAAAGTGTTCGGCGTGAATCGTAAGTTCAACCAAAGTGAAGTCTGTATATTACTATATTTGAACAAGTGATAAAAATGAACTTGACCCGAATGATGAGGAACGTGAATGCCTTGGGTGTATGTACCTTGCGATTTGGGGCGAGTTTTGGAGGATCTAGTACCACAATATCCCACTGCTTTCCTTCAGAGAGTGCAGACTTCATATACTCTGCTACGTCTGCTTTGACGAAATCGATCGAGTTTGCATCTAACCGGTTCAAGGATGCATTGGACTTCGCAAGTTCCAAGGCAGGAGAAGAAGAGTCTACTCCTGTATCGAAAGGCACGGAGCGAACGTGTTTTCACGAAACTTCAATATCATTTCCATACTTCCACGTACACTAAGAATGACCATCATCTCAAATCAAGATGGTTAGGAAAATATGCTTACCAGTTATATAAGAAGCACCCCCCAAAGCGGCATTCAAAGCAAACCCCCCACTATAGCAGCACAAATCTAGCACAGAAGATCCACTTGCAAGTGAACGAAGTAATAGTCGGCTGTCTCGTTGATCAGCATAAAATCCTGTCTTCTGACCATCTAAAGATGCAAGATATCGAACTCCATTCTCAACTACCTGTGCATAACATCCGCTTACTCCCAGATTCAAAATTGTCCCATGCTGGTGTACTTCACAATTCAGCATCCTCCGTAAGAAAATCATAAGGAAAAAAAATTCTTAGGACTGCAACAACAGAAATGCGGTTTATAAGAATTTGTGAGTGTGGAGAAACAAGACCAGGAAAGACTCAAATACCTCAAAATCGCCTATTACATCACTTGCAGAATCAAGTGAAGAATCTTCGGAAGTACTAACTTGTAATCCCTCTTCCTTGAGAATTTCAACGGATGGTCTCCAGGACACATGAGAGGTTTTGATGGCTTTACCGACAGCAAGTTCGATTGTAGACCTATGTCTCTCAACCCATGCGGCAGACGAGGCTACCACAACTTGTTCCCCGAGGACGTCAACAATTAAGCCTGACAACCTGTACCAGACGAAATTCTATGATTTGCACAAGAGGCTACAACAGATATTCTGACAACTCCATGCCTTTCATTTACAGAATACAGGCTGAACCGAAAAATCACCATGAATTCCTACAACCCACTGAATGTAACGAATCCAGAATGTAAATTTCCAGCAAACCACTGTATGCACTTGCCTATCACCTTCACTGTTCACCAGCCGGAAGACATTGGTATGATCAGACGGCAGTCCCAACGTTTTCCGCAACTTCCTGGCTGCTGAAAATCTAGAAAGTAGTAAGGTCTCCATGTTGAGCACACATTCGGGTTCTCTAAACCACAAACACAAGATTGTGAGTAAGAGACGTGTTCCACTATCAAATGCTCTCTATCTAAACCGAGAAACATTGCACGTGACTGCATGAAAGTAAATCAATACCTGCGAGCTTCATCCTCAGTTTGCATGATCCGAACAGCAAACATAGATAATGGATTGTACACTCCCCATGCGATAGGTTGCTCTGCACCATCTGTGACCATGACGAGGTCACCTGCCACAGGAGGCGGCCTTCCCACCACTCTATCAATGGCTCCACTGTACACCATGGGATTACCACCCCGGAAAAGCTGTGTCTTTCCTCTCTTCAGAACAACTTTAGGCACTTCTACAAAACCAATAACCACAGCAGTTTCGTGAGGCCTTCTACAGATGACAATATACACCAATTGAATACAAAATCATAGCCCTAAAATAATCAGTCCAGTTATTGGTAAATCACATATGCTGAAAATCTAAACCTCTCGTGAAGTTCTCCTAATGACAACTTACTTTCATTTTGGCAAACTGAAAAATACGAATCTTCTCAATTTACTTACAAATCCTAATTCATAGATTCATTGTATTCACGCCATTTACAGAGTGACCAGCTCTTTCAAAGCAATGGGACACAACGTTTCCCAGGTTGCCAAAGCATCCGCTGAACTCTATCAGAGATTATGACTAGATAAAAAAGCCTTCAAACTTATCGATTCAAACTCACTACACATGCTGAAAGGCTTAGATAAAGGATAAAACGGTAAGCAGGAGTAAAACTTGAACTTCTTGGAGCATATTGACACAAAGCTATCAAAAAAAGGAATTTTGATGTCATACTGGAACGATCTTTTGCAATGTCTCCAATTATACTCTCCATCACCTTTACTTGAGCACCTCCAGCCATGACTGGAAAAGAATGTATTCGAGGACGCATTCGGGTACTGTTCCCAGCAGTCCCCATACGAAGAGCCTGAAACATGGATATTGCAACACTAAGCTGAATTCCAAGCTCCAATTCTGACCAGTGGTAAACTAAAGTATGTGTGGAATGTGAGAAAACATCCATGAACAAATTGCAGACGACGGAAGACAAAGATGAGAATGAAACAGAAATAGTGTACCTGTCCATGTCGGAAACAGGGGATACTCAAAGACGGATGCACAAAATGGAGCACACCATTCTTCAAGGAAAGCATGGTGCCTCTCAAGTAACGATTGATGCTGGGGCTGCAGAAATGTGAAGCCATAAGCACCGCATCAATAAAAAACAGACATCTTTAACAAGGAACCTAGACATGCTCTTTGCTTACTTCAACAGTATACTCATCCTCGAGACTTGTCGTTCTACAACATGAGCTACGAACCAGTTCTACCAAAGTTGAAAGGTTACCAGCTACCAACATTTGATCACAAAATTCGCAAGCAAGCAATGCGGTGGAGGCATCCAAACCACGAAATCAAGCACAATTGAACCTTCATATCGTAAACTGCACTCAAAATCTACAAATGTATTCTAGCTTTCAAGCATTATAATCATGAGAAACCACCTGCAGCTCAGACACAGAGCTTACCTCAAGTCAAATTTATCTCTCAAGTGAGACAGTCAAGATTCCGCCCGGTGAGAAAGTTTTCAGCTCCGCGGAAAGGCGCTAAACCGACACGATCAGGAACTTGATAAGATAACAGTAATCAACTCAGCAAGGAATTTAGGGTAGTTGAGGGATCAATGGAACAGCCACGGCAGTTCGACTCGCAGTACAATGCGCACTAGAATGGAAATGGCTGCTCAGATACACAACCACATAATTGATTTTAAAACGCAATAGGTGCGCACCCACCAAGATTTAGGTCTATCACTGCTCATAACTCACAATTAGGCGAGCCGCGTGCTCATTACCAGCGAAGGACCTAAGCCCTAAACCTGGTTTCCAGAACAAATGGCCACTTCTGCTCCCCTAGAAACAGAATTTCTAAACAATCCAAATCCGCGGTTACAATCGACACATGCGCGTAGCTTGGACTTCATAAATCGATCGAATCAAGCATGGCCTTCATAAGAATTTGGGTCGCAGTAGAATCTCTTCACGTTACACGAAGTATTCACTGAACACATACTTAAACTGTGCAAATCGGGTCTGTACAGAAGATTAACGTGTGCCTAATGCAGATTACCGTCGTTCCGAGGATGCCGTAATCACCTTATCCGTCACTGAACTGCGGATGTGTCGTGGCACGCCACGTAGGATGTGGCGGGAATACGCCATTCACTCCCTTCCATGTCATTCGTAAACCCTCCCCCCCATGAGTTAGAGCTTATGGATATATAATTCTTGTCGTCATGGGATTAATTGCATTTTGTAATATTTCTCAATTACAATCACAGAAAAGAAGAAAAAAGAAGAAATTAAAAAGAGTATTGATTATGCTTTTTTATATGATATGATTATTTACACTTTTAATGAATAAATTTGGTTGAATGAACTATGTTTTTAATAGAATAAGAATTAGAGTAAGACACTAGTTAATAAAATAATTAATTTTTAATTAAAAAATACCAAAATTTTAATAAGATAAATATATTTTGAATATACTTCTTTGAAATATTTTTGGGTTACTTTGAACATGGCATTACTTTATAATTTAATGTTGCTTCTTCACATTAGTGGAGCATGTTTTCCAATCCCAAATGACTAAAAGCTAATGTTCATTCTTAACCAACCAAAGTTAGAATACGATTACAATAAAGTAAAGTTTGGTGTGAATTAGAGAGCTTGATTGCCATTGTAGTGCATATATCTAAGATTTTGAAGTCTTGTTGTTTCTAAGAAACGTTGCAAAAAGATTTGCATTATCTTAGTAAAAGTATTTCCAGGAGATTAGAATTTATTTTTTTCCTTGGCTATTGAAAAAGCATAATAAGTCTTTGGGTTGATGAGCACAAATCATTGGTGACCATCCTTGAAGGTAACACCACAAGAACTGAACCAATTGGTTCAGTGGATTTTGTAGCCATGGATCACATGCAATTGGACCCCAAGGCTGTATTTTTGTGAACTTTACAAGCTAATGAAACAAAACGTTATTTTGGCTGCTAATCTACATCTACACCTGTTTGGCAACAGACATGTGTCAGTTGAATAGATCACTGTATGTAATGAGGAAAGCAACGTTGAGTAATTGAAAAACTGTAGAACAAATATTCAGGCTATTGCAATCACAGCTTCCTTCATGCTCCACACACAGTAAGCACGCAATCCACACACGTCTTTCGAAAAACTCCTCTGAAACCAAAAAATTCAGACAGTGAACGCAACTACACAACTCATGGAATTGAACGAGATACAACCAAGACCATTTCATGCAGTAGGGTAACTGTTCTGGCTGCTCGGCGGCCAGCTTTACTAATGATCAGTATCATCTTTCCACTACGAGAAGCTTTTATTCCCATCCAGTCCATCAAAAAATTGCAGCGGTGTCCTTTCCCAAGTCAGTTTGGAGTGAAAAGTGGACACTATGAGACCCTAGTAAATGGGCCGGAACCAAGCCTCCATGCACATTCAATTGATGAGAAAATGCTATTCCGCGCTTTAACTGGGAGACTTCACTTTTGTTAGTTTCTTTACACACAGATATACGCGGTGTTGACTACAGGAGTATACATTTATCATAGAATCCAGATGTTCCGTGTGTTCTTCGTGTGGAAAATATTCTATGCAGAAAGGTTCTGTAAAGATACCAACTCTGCTGTTGCAATGCTAACAAATAGCCCAAAAGTTGCAAATCAACACTAGGTGTACATGAGAGCAGCTTAATAGATAAAATGTGTCTTCACTAAGCTGTCAAGTCGTCTGGAATCTGCTGCTGATTAGAGCCCATAATCTTCCCACCCACATCAGGAAATGTATTGTGTGATGGCAAGTTTATCACAGTGCCATTGTCTTCTATCTTCAGAGGGTAGCGGATCAGGTGGCTCTTCATGTCAGTTACCTCCTCAGCAACATACTGCTCCCAGCCTCTGTCTGCAATGTAGTTGATCCTCTGCACGCATTCCAGGCTCGAAGGAGTCTCAAACACAGGTTCCAGACATGCCAGATGCTCCGCCCACAGTGACATCCGATAACCATACACCTGGAAGTTCAATTTCCAGAGAGTGTATTCCATTAAAAAAATTGTGCTTGTAGAAATTATCTAAATACCTAGTCGGTAATCATTAGAAAGTTCATAGTATGTACCACATTTTAGTTTCGTGCAAATTTGCGACAAAGACATGTCCCACTACAAAGAGTATTTTATAGAACTCTCAGAGAGAAAGAAGACCAGTACCCACCTGACCACGAGGAGGCCCATTTTTGTGAGCCCATGTGTGTCGCGGCTGATACCCACCCATGGCAATCTCTGTGTCTCTCGACCCATCCATCGACCGTTGATTTATGTTAGCAGAGCCCATTATCACCAATTCATCGTCCACGATGATTCCTTTCGCGTGCACATATATCATCATTCGTCTACTGTCTTGTGATTGTGCCTGCAGTAATGGAGCCTAGAGAATTCAGCGAAATTATACTGCTTTGGCGATTTGGATTCCAATTTTTCTTTCAGGTTTAGACTAATCGCAGCTTAACAGTCTTAACATCTCAACAGCGCCCAACTCGTACACCTTGAACTGACAGCTTTCGTGTTCACGCAGGTTCTATAAGAAAAGTTTGGTCAACTGCAGCTAACTTACATGCCGAGACTTAGGCTCGGGCGGGTTGAGCGGTGCAGCTTCTCCAGGCTTTTTGGTCTCTCTGTTCCCGAGACAGTAAAAGTTCAAGTAGTCTGTTGGCTTCACTTGTGTATCTAAACCAGTATCTCTTATGGTCTCAGCAATTATTGCGTACATCATCTTTATGGTTTGTGACTGGAAGTTGCCACATGCACAACAAACATCAGATGTGCGTACACTGCAATTGATGTATAAACTGCAATAGCATACAAGTAATTCATGCACACACCTTCTAGAGAAATTTAAATACCAGTTACAAGCCAATCACAAACCATGCTTTGTGAAAGAGACCAGAAGAAATAGAATAAGAAGAAGAAGAAGAAGAAGAAGGAGAAGAAGAAAACAAAAAAAGGGTACATTACCTGAAAGAAAAGAATTTCCTGAACAGGAGCACTGTCAGGGATACCCTCGGGCCACATAGGCACGACTACGTACACTGCAAACCGTTTACCCTCTCTAATCTTGCTGCAGATCTTCAACGTTAGCTCCATCGGAATGAGATGGTTGGCACCTGTTAAATATTTTCAGTTGTGTTCAGTCATTCAACAATTGTTCTCATCATACAACACATAACACACAGAATTCGTGTTTCAATTTCTATGCATGCCATGATTGCAAGAGATGATTAAATCATGTCATGCACAGGAAAAGGAAGACACATCCAATGTGGTATTTCCATATTTGTTCAGATGGGAATGAAGGTTACCTGCTGTGGTATAGTCTGGCCAATTGTACGAAGATCCCAAAAAATATTGATTCTCAATATATACAAAATGCTGAGCAGAACGTATAGCTTTGATGTACGCCATTTGGATACTTATGTCTATAGCTACGCTTTTTCCCCACACGAGATTCTGCGTCATTAAAAGACACTTCAATCGAATGCAGACTACAATATCAACGCAAACAGAACCGGACACATGGGAGTGAGTTGAGACCTTTAGAAAGTCCTCAAGTTCAAGCAGCATTTCTAAATTAAAAAGAATATAAGATATTAGTCCGGAATTTCGCTTCTGCTATATAACAAACAGCGTAAAGGTTTCTGTTTGAACCAAATCTCACGTTTGAACAAGAATGGCTCAGAAGGACGACAAGAAAGTTAGAAAAGGAAAAAAGAAAGAGAAAAAATCCAACAAAATGGAACAGAATAAGGAGTTTCTTACTTCTTTCTGAACGTCATCAACGATGTTGGGGAAACCTTTCACCGATCCTGAGTCTATGGACCTAAAAACCTGCAAAAGCAACAACAATCCATAACGTTAGTAGCGCAACCTTTATATTATTCAAATATTTTTATTCTGTCTCATGCTGTCTGTCGTTTGGACTATGCAGAGAAATATTACCGCTGATGATTACTCAAAAGACATGCAGTAATTCTTTAAAAAACAAAAAAGGGACAAAATAATTAAAAAAAACTATAATTCCTCACATTAGGTGTTAGGCACAGATGTGAAAATCCAAAGGGGATAAAATCACCTGAACATGCCAAGTTTCCGGATCGTTGTCACTAGTCACATAAAGAGCCCCGTCTCCAGAAGACGGACACTGGTTTGAGGGACCCAAAAGCCCCTCCCGGTTGTTGATATCAATCAAATCATCGTCATACCTTCGGGTGGCTTTTCTCCATCGCTGCACGAAATTGGTATGAACGTCATAAGCGGCATGGCCTTCAATTTTGCAGTGCCAATCATGCCAAGGTTCTCTGGGTCCTCCACTACCAGGTGCATACTGTTCCAATCAAAAACATAAGCACTTTAGAATTAATCTAACCCATCCCATTGACTCCATAAATTCATTGGAGAATGCTCTGGACTATGATTGAGAAAACGATCCTCTGTTCCCTTTACAACCTAATTGTAGTTGTTTAGTTGTCACTTACATCCCACGACTTGTTGCGAAAGTCATACTTATGCTCATCTTGTAATGATGCAAACAGAGAATGGGTAGGAGTATCCCATCGACCTCCAGTTAGATCCAGGCCGCCAATAAAAGAAATCAACCTCCTTTGTTTGGGTGGTCCGCTATCAACAATGGTGATTTTCTGGTGATGTGAGTACAAGGTTCCAACTACCTGAAATTTCAATTGCGTTTCAAAATTATTCAGTCTTCCAATCTTCAGTAAGTTCCATCATACTCAACTCTGATTTCTTGGAATGACTCAGCCACGATGGCATGAACGCCGAAGCAGCGTACACTTGTGTCCTGCTAATAGTAATAGTTCAAAACCACAAGACCGTACCTGTTGTCTGAACCAAGTCGTCTTGTCAGCACCATACCTTGGAGCTAAAATACACCTGACCCCTGTATTTTTGAAGAAAGACTTAGTTTCTTCGTCGTGCGTGTTCATTACACCAGCCTGAACACAACAAAATCAAATCAAATCAAATCAACACTTCAAGTCCTCATCCGTACCAAACAGAACTTCACTTCATTAAATGGCGCCCCACAATCGGATTCTACATAACTCAACGGAAGACGCTCAGTCCAATGAAAGTTTCAATAAAAACAGTACGCGCGAACTCTTTGCAATAAGAAGCTTCACATTATCATGCTGAATTAAAGCTTCAAAAATCCCCGCATTACCGTTTTAAAAAATGGAATATCGTGAGAGGTTTTGTCATCCCAAACTAACATGAGCACCCGTACTTTCTCACTAGCTTTCTTCTTCAATAGTTCGCCCAATGTCAAGTCTCCCCCTTGGATCATCGGCCGGTTCACATCCCGCACTAGCGTAACCTTGTCAAACACCGACCAGCCAGCTATGTATATCAAGTGCTGAGCATCGTTGATAGCAGTACACATATCCTCCCAGCACCGATTCTGGACATAGGGAAGCCCACCCTCAAGTGCAATACTGGGAAGAGTATTATCGTAAATATGCGCGTCCTGATATAAAGTGAGCCGGCATCCTTTCCTCAAAGGAAAATAAGTGTTAGGCACTCCGTGTGCTTCACTACCCACTCCCTTCATGTAAAGAGGGTCCTGCTCTACAGGAAAATATTTTACAGATAAACGGAGTTTTGCCCCCACATGACAAGACTTTCCTTGTTTGTCCAACAAATCGAACCAGTTGTCTACAACACCGCCATTGAGGACTACTTCAACTGGAATTTTCACATGGCCGATAAACTGGGAATTTACGACGTCTTGATCTTTAACCTTAAAAACAATCTCATGCACAAAGTGTGCGACAGGGATGATGAAGCGCTCCTTCCACTCGGGGTTAGCATTATTGCTTATCACCCTTGTTCGAGCTACCTTGGCTCCCGCGAGAACCACGATTGCATAAGGGTCACTGGTAATCACAGTCGCAGAGTGTAGTTTAGCCACTTTCTTGAGCTTTTCAAGAGGACCAGGGAGGTTTTGCGTGAGCTGACGAATCTTTTCAGAAAACATGTCCATGTTTGGTAAGTTCACTGCTTGGTGCATGAAAACTTCCAAAGTTCCGTGCACCAAATAGCCTCGTGATGTCGGTGCACCATAGACCTGGATTGCACTGCCGGTTGAAACGGTCGGTTGAAATCTAGTGGTTGACACAACTGGGTTAACTGGTTCATCCGTAATGCGACCTGAAATGCGACACCAAACTCTGAAGATGGGTGGTAAAAAGTGAACTGAACCTTCTAATTTGCAATCTTTCTATCAGCACTGGCTACATCTTCTCAGATCGCTCAGCAGAGCGTGCGTCCTGATCAATCGTCCCAACCGTCGAAAGACCTGCATTAGGTTTCGACAATGCTCAAGAAGATTTCGACTATAAAATGAGTGCAGAGCAGACAGCTCACCTGAATGGATCCCTTGAGGAAGATATGGTGAAGCCCCGGCTTGAGGTGAATATGAAGACACCACGGCAGAGTAGGGACCTGTAGGATCAGCAACTTGCTGGTAAGAGTGGTTAGGATCATGGGCGGAGCAACTTAGGTTTGAAGGAGGTGGTGGAGCACTTGGCATGTACGCATTGGGCTGGGGTGAATAGAACGGACTTCCTAGAGAAGTTTGATGCGATTGCGGAGGTGGATACGACTGATCAGGATAAGTTCTGGACTTGAAAGAACCCTCTGGTGAGGGAGTTTGAGACAAGTGCGGATTGACGTAGGGGTTAGGGGCATATTGAGAAGGGTTTGGGACGAAGTCTGGAGGTCGTGAAGGGGAAGTATGCTCCGACATGGGCCCCGATGCTATTGAGAACCACTTCCCCAACCCCCGTAGACCTCCATAACGTTTGGGACTTCCTGTCATATCATTAAATGAATATTGTTGTTGTCAATGCGTTCGCTCTATCAATTTCAATATCGAACTTCTCTTCGTTGTGCCTTCCTAATCTGACTTGTAAATTCCTCCTCGAAGATTTTGTTCGTTTAAAACCTGCACCGTAGAAGATGAGAGGTCAGTGCTTAATGCAATAGGTACAAATGACGTTGTATTCTGGCCTTGATTGGTAATAAGACAACAGGGATACATAGATTTTTCAGCAGGTTGCTACACTCGTCGCCGACAAAAAACTTTTTCCTGCCAGTTGCAAATTCAAGAGCATTGGGGTTCTAAGAACCTTAACTATAATGACGAGGAATAGATAATGTCAAAAACATGGGACGGAGAAGTTCATTGAACCTTAACAATGGTACAATCAAGATCCAAGACTTCGATTGCACGTTCACGTTAGGCGGCATTAAAACAGAGGAATCGGAGCAGATACGGAGGAAGACTACCCTTCTGACTAACTAATATTTTTCAAACTAGGTTAAGAGTCAGCAGAAATGGTCTCTGTCCTCAAATCAGGAAATTACACAGCATTCTCGCACTTTAACTCAGATCGCTTGGCAAAGTACATTTGATTGCCAATTCGTCCTGAGACAAAGGCTTCGTTGTCGGCACAAACACACCGAAAAGTGTCACGGTTGAACCTGGAAACAAATTGCTAATGATGAATTCATCCGAGATTACCGCGCAAGGTATTCAATTCATCACGAGCCCTGGTCTAAACTCAGTGAACAAAAGACCTTGCAAACGCAGAAAGCAGCACAAAAGACAAATAAACAGATTAAAAAACAAAAATAAGTGAACTAAATGAAGCACAAGACCCAATTCAAAACAGAGACCTTTGCGAATCAACACTGAACAATCCATTCCACCCTCCTATTCGATCCATCCCGCCAATAAAACCCCAGAATCAGACTCTAGTGGTTCAAGAACAGACCTCATCTACCGACCCAAGCACAGACCACCGGGCTTAAAACTCCTGCAAACCCCTCGATGTACAGCCATCGCAGCCAAACTTCGACACACAGAAAGCGAATTAAGAAAACGCTACCGATAGCACGGCACCTACCTAACTCGACCAAGCTCTTGCCACCACAAATGGCGCTCTCTCGTAACAATCCCAGTAACCACAACCGTCAGAGCATAGAGAAGCCAGCAGCATCGACGATCAGTTCAAGACGGGCTTCACAGAAACCCACTTCAATCTTACCAATAAAAATTCAAATACGCATTGGGGGCTTCAGACACGGCGAGCTCTCTGTAATGGTGCCTGCACCTACCTTCAAGCAGCGAGGGTCGGAATCCGTCAACATCCGAAGGTGCAACTCGCCTGCATATTTCACTTCTTTCCCAATCCATCCATGGTCAACACAGTGCACGCGACAGTGGACCGAGCCGCAATTCAACTGCAGAGCTCTGTTCACGCAGTGCGTAACGTCCGGCCACCGGACGGGAAATTTCTACACTCAGCTGCGAGGCGAAATCTTCGTGGGTAGACGAGATGCTCGTTCACCTACCCCACCATGGGCACACAGAGGGGAGAATGTTCTCACCCGAAGAAACTGCCTGGCAATACGAGACGAGACGCGGCTTGGGCAGATAGGATTGCATCCATCACATACACTGTTCGACCGACGGAAGCCTGATTCTTCGTTGCAGACACAGAATCTCCGAGAATTCTACGTGCGGACACCCACCAACCCACCACTTCCTCGACACCGACGACGAAAAAGGTCACCGGCTCTCACTCACCGGCCACAGTACACACAATCACTCCAGCTGCTTTGCCGGCCCCGGTATACCCAACCCGGCCCGGCATATGAATCGCCGATGTTATTTATTGTTTATATTTAACTCATTTTATTATTTTATTACATTTTTATCAAAAAGTAGTTCGTAGCAGTTGATAGGTGGTCAGAGTTCTCTGCAACATGGTTGACTTTGTTGATAAAGAATGAGAATAATTTCCATGGTTTTATTTAGAGATTTTTTTGAGCAATTGGATGAAAATTACAAGTGGGTATTCTATCAGAGAGTAATGAAGAAAAAGAACTTTGAAGTCATCAATACATAGTATCAGCAAGGTTGTTCACAAAGAGAGCATGGAGTCAAATGTCTCTCACTTCCAATATCCATTACTTATAGATGGTGGTTAATGCTCCAATGGATAACTTCCATCTTTTGATGAATACATCTATCTAAAATTTTACCAAGACTATCTATATCTATCTTATCTATTATGAAAATATACTTTTAGCACATATTTTATATCCTTAAGATCCTTTATTTGTTCATCTACTTTATCTCTTAGCCTTCTTATATATTAAGAGCCAACTCTTTAACCAATAGTAACTTATTTAAAATAGTATTTTTTATAATATAATTTATTCTACTTCCACTTTTATTTACTTACTTTAATACTTCTATTGTAAGAAGGTATAGATAAGATAATTATATAGATAATTAAAACCATAGAAGTTTCTAGAATTACAATTAAGTTAGTGGATCAAATAGGATCGATCATAGAACATTCTAAAAAGGATATAAGGTGGTTATTTAGGTAGGGCCTTCTATAGAACCTTCTAGAAAAAAACTTAGGATGGTTATCCAAGTGGAACCTACTATCTAAGAACATTTTAGAAAGTCTAGGATAGTAGGATAAGGTATAAATAGGACTAGCTAGGTGTCACGGATAAAAAATACAAAGAAGAAATCTAAACAAGAAGTTCAAGAAGAAATGACAAGAACTAGATTATCAGATGAGTACAAAAGCAACGCCAAGAGAATTGAGCTAGAACTTCAAGAGATGTGTTGTCGAGACTGAAGAACACTTCAGCCTCGACTCCTATATATACTACTGGCCTATGGTTCTAAGGAAGCGCATCAAGAAGCTTCCCAAGAACTATGAAGCTTCTCGAGCAACTACCCAAGAGCTAGGAAGCTTCTCAAGTAACTTCCTAGAATCTACTAGAATATTCTAAGAATCTTCTAGAGCCTTCTAAGAGAATCTTTAGAGAATCTTCAAAGAATCTTTAGATAATCTTTAAAGAATATTCTAAGAGAATATTCAAAGAATCTTCTGGAAGTTTCTAGAGACTTCTTTCTAGAAGGTTCTAGAAACTTGTCTCTAGAAAGGTCTAAGGACTATGTCCCTAACATCACCTCCTCCTTTAGCTTCGAGGTCTTCGAGAAGCAATGTTATCGTCAGTCAATACCAACGTAAGAAAATGAAGATCTGTCGCATAACCTCTGCTATGAACTCCAATTGTTGTTCACGAGGCAAGTGATTCAATGGTCCTTGAAGCCAATGGTAGTGGCCCACGCCTTCAACTTCTGACCAAGCATGAACCTCCGTGTCTTCATTGTGAAATTGTCCTGCAAACACTCCTTCTGGCTGACCATTGTAGGCAGGCTCGACCTCAAATACAATCACCAGCGATCTGTTGCTTGGAATCCTTCGACGTCATCGTGGTGCAAGCGGTTCTTCATCTCACGGTCGTCTTCGTGAGCTAGTTGCTTGAGATGACATAACAAGTGTAGTATCTTGGCTATCCATATTCAAAGACTAAAACAATAAGAACAAACTTGGGCTACTAACAAAGTTCTACGCTATCTTGGAGAGAATGACTACATCAACTATGGATTTTGGTGGTGCTCTCTCCTCTTTTCTGTTTTCTGGATGAGCAAGCTTCAGTAAGAAGCTATCGTCGAACCGGCTTGGGTTTCTGAAGATATCGTCGATGAAACTCCTGTACCTTTTGCAGCGCATTCGCGAGATTTTCAGCCGGCTCCCATGTTCGTTCATTAATATTGTAACCGCTCCAATGCACAAAATATTCTAATTTACCCCGTCTTTGCCGTGAATCTAGGACCTTTTTCACCTCGTATTCTTCGTGGTTCTCTCTTTCTATGCTAGGTGGTGGACATTGTACTCTTCCAGGAAAAGACGATTCTCGATAAGGCTCCAACAAAGAAACATGAAAGACAGGATGTACCTTCATAGTAGCTGGTAACTCCAGACGATACGCTACAGGATTGATCTGCTTCTGAATAACAAATGGTCTCAATCTTCGATAGTCCAATTTGTCACATGGCCGCTTGGTCTTAATATTTCGTCGAAGCAGCCAAACTTTGTCTCCAATCATGAATTTAGGTGCCTGATTCTGAAATTTATCCGCGGACGCCTTGTAAGATTCTTGGGCAGTTTGCAATTGAAGCTTCAATGTAGTTTGAAGCTACGAAAGCTCCTTCATCAATCCTTCAGCTGTCGGATTGTTAATCGTTGACGAAGTCCATTAGTCAAGCTTCAGATGGTATCCATAATTGGAAAAGAATGGCGTTTGTTGAATTGACGCATGAAGGGTGTTGTTATATGCGAACTCGGCTAGCGGTAGATATGCGACCCAATCATCTTGTTGATAGTTGATGGTGCAACGTAAATATTGCTCTAAAACTTGATTCACCCGTTCTGTTTGGCCGTCTGTTTGAGGATGAAATGCCGAAGAAAGCTTGATATCCACCTTCAATATTTCAAAAAGAGATTTCCAAAACTTTGACACAAACTGGGTTCCTCGATCCGATACGATATCATCTGGTAGACCATGATATCGATACACATTATCAAGAAAGAGTCTTGCTGTGTCTTCGCTTGACGATGTCTTCTTGCAAGGGACAAAATATGCCATCTTTGTAAACCGGTCTACGACAACAAAAATGCTATCAAATGAATTCGATGGTGGTAGATCCGTAATAAAGTCCATGGAAACCGAAGACCATGGTCGGCGCGGAATAGGCAATGGCTGTAGAAGTCCATAAGGCCGATGTCGAGGGTTTTTGGATCTTGAACAAATGTCATAAGATACAACAAAATCTTTCACATCCTTCCACATTTGAGGCCACCAGAAATCGCGGGAAATAAGTTCCAAGGTCTTATTGAATCCAAAATGTCCCGCAGTTAGAAAGTCATGACGAGATTGAAGAACTCGGAGTCGTGTTGGCCCTTTTGGGATATACAACCGCTCTTCGAAATATACTAGATCTCCTTCCATCTTGAATTTATCATCACTAATATGTTGCTTGATATCAAGGGCTAGAGAATCTTCAATGGTTGCAGCCTGTATCTGGTCGAGGAAGTCAGCATCAATTGGTACAATAGCTGCGTTGAGCCGAAATTTCTCTGGCTTCAACAATGTCGTACACTGTTGATCAAATGCTGCATCTCCAGCCTTAGGCGCGAGATATGATCTCCTTGATAATGCATCGGACAACCCTTGTTGCTTCCCAGGTCGATAAGTAATAACAAAGTCGAACCTGGATAGCAACATACTCCACCGAGCTTGACGCCGATTCAAAATCCGAGCCGACATAAAATACTCCAAATTCTTGTGATCCGTATATACGGTCGCTGGATGTGCAGTTCCTTCGAGAAAGTGGCGCCACTCTTGGAAAGAATCTACTATAGCAAGGAGTTCCTTATCGTAGATCTCATAGTTGATCTCAGCAGCAGAGAATTTTCGAGAATAGAACGCAACTGGATGGAGCTTCTCATCTACGCCCATCTGTGAAAGTACAGCTCCCAAAGCAAAATCCGAAGCATCTGTCTCCAAATAAAAGGCCTTTGTAAAGTCCAGATGTACCAAGATTGGAGCTGTAGTAAATACCATCTTCAAATCTTGAAATGCTTTTTCTGCCATAGGTCTCCATTCGAGCTTGTCCTTCCACGTTAACCGGGTGAGGGGGGCAGCAACTTGAGAATAATTCTTGATGAAGATCCGATAGTAGTTAGCAAATCCAAGAAAACATTGTACGTCCCTAACCGTCTTCGGAACTTCTCAAGACATGATTGCTTCCACCTTCTTTGGATCCATCTTCAAGCCTTCCGTAGTCGCGATGAATCCCAAAAACTCTATCTCAGTTTGGTGAAATAAACACTTCTCCAATTTGGCATAGAGTCCTCGCTCCCGTAGTTTTTTGAGTACCAGACGAATGTGCTTCTCATGTTCTTCCTCGTTCTTAGAAAATATCAAAATATCATCTAGATAGATGACAACAAAATCGTCTAGATGCTCTCGAAAGATGTCATTCATCATGTGTTGAAAGACCGCTGAAGCATTAGTAAGACCAAATGGCATGACATTGTATTCAAAATGGCCATACCTTGTTCGGAACGCTGTCTTCCATTCATCTCCTTCCTTAATTCGCACAAGGTTGTAAGCTCCCCTTAGGTCAATCTTTGTAAAGATCCTTGCATGCCCAAGTTGTTCTAGAAGACCAGAGATCAAAGGCAGTGGGTAGCGATTCTTTTTTCTCACCTTATTGAGACCTCGATAGTCCACGCACATCCGTAGTGAGCCATCCTTCTTCTTCACAAATAAGATTGGTGCCCCAGCTGGCGACTTCGAATGACGGATGAAGTTCTTGGCTAGATTCTCATCAATGTACTTCCGCAACTCAGTCAACTCCATCTGCGACAAATTGTAGATTGGTCCAAAAGGTGGTTGTGCTCCTTCTTGTAATTCAATGGCACAGTCATAGGG